CCTGACCCCGGGCGGCCGGCCGGCGCTGGCCTGGCCTCGCAGGCCCGCCGGCCCCTTGCCGCGGTGGCCTCCACCCGGGCCGCTGCGCCTGGCCTGTCACTGCCCCTGTCCTGACCCCGGAGCCCTCTGCTGAAAGCGCTGGACCAGGAGGGCTGCTCACCTGCGGGGGCCCACCCAGCCGGGACTTATGCTCTTAGCAGTGGTCGTGCCCCGCCCTGGACCCCAGAACCCGGGAAGTACCGCAGCCTTCCTGCAAATGCAGAACGGATCATGATGGCCAGCGTGGACCCTCCGGCCAATCCTCCTAGAAAGGCTACGGAGCTGAAACTCCATTTGTCATGGAGAATGCATTTGGGTCAGGGGGAAAAAATGCTCTTTGACTCGATAGTGAACATGGGTCAAAAATAATTTGACTTTATAATTAGGGAAGGAACCAGCTTGATACTGCAATCCATTCAAATGAGAATGGGAAGAATAACTAGCAATCAAGAAAGAGGTAAAATAAATGTAATGTTTAAAATTATAGTTGCTCGTTCTTATCTTCAAGGGATATGTTTGAGCATCTCCAGGTCAGTGTAGGAAACCAGAGGTAGGACTGACCCCTGTCTGTACTGCTTTTTTTCCTGTGACAAAGCTTGACTTGTAAGTGTAGAAAAAGGACAACTGTCATCAAATGGACAGTTGTAACTTTATGATAGTAAAACTTATTTAAAAGGGATTATTTCTAGAATTTTTCATGTACTATTTTCAGATCTGGATGGAAAGTCAGTAAGAGTAACTGAAACCAGATAAATCCAAACAACGGATGGCATGGGTGGTCTGGTATCTATGGGAACCAGGATCTCTCACAAATTTACATTTCTGTTGATAAGAATTATTTACACCACCATAAATTTCTGCAGTTTTCAGAGCAGCGGAAACAACCTAAGGAGGAGCCGTCAAAGGTGTGGATTAGTCTCCAGAGTCCTGGAAACAACATGGAAGCTTTGGCCCATTGCATAATTTTTCACATTTTTCCCAGCAGAACGTCATTACTCATGTTCTGCAGATGGGAAAACCAAGGATTAGTTTTTGCGATTTACCCATGGCTGCATTACCCACGAAAAGGATTATGACTAGGTCACAGCCCAGCCTGTCAGTGGAATCTACAACACTCTAGGAGCAAAGTCTTTCCGGTTCAAAGGGGCTTTGTAGCTAGCTGCTTAGTTGTCTGGATCTTTTCATTTAAATAGGGAGATTCTTTTCTTCAATCATTACCATATTCTCAGTCCTTTCCTAAGAAATTGGCATCCTCTGTCTGCAAAGTGCATGTCACTTCTATAAGTATAAACAGATGTAGCAGGCAATGTGAGGGGGCTGTAGTTCCAGTCTCCATTTTTGGAAAGAACATTTGTGCTGTCTGGGATAATCTAGTGGAAAAGTTCCTGTCATTTATTTGCAACATGGAAACCGGGTTTTTTAGAAGAATAACCTAAATAAATGCACAATCTAATCACTGAATTCTGTCTGTAGAAGAGGGGGCAGAGTTGGCAATAAAATCAGTCTTACACCTCTTTGCGAAAAGATGATTCATGCAGAAAAGCAGCCTGGAGAATTTGATTTGAGTTTTATTTTTTGAAAATGTGAAACTTCTGGAAAATTTCATACTGAAGGAATGACAGGGTTTTTAAAACATAATGTTGATAATTTAGGATTCTCAGCCAGGCTTAGTGATGCACACCTGCAATCCAATCTACTGGAAAGTCAGTGGCAGCGGTTTGAGGCCAACCTAGACAGTTTAGCAAGACACTGTTTTAAAATTTGGTAGGAACTGGAGATGGAACTCAGTGGTTGAGTGCTGGATTAGAGCCTCAGCACCACTGCATGAATAATCCGAGATTGTCCATAATGGGCCTTCCACGTCTCACATTTCCAAGAATATTTGAAGGGTCTACTAGACCAGTACTAATCCAGTACATGGAATTATTTAATAAAACAATTTAAAAATTATATCCTTAACCAAACTAGCGACATTTGAAGAATCGACAAGTGGTTAATGGCTACCCTATTGGACATTATAGATACAAAACATTTCTATCCCATAAATTTCCACTGGAAAGTGCTGTTTTAGTTACAATTTGTACTTCTATTAAGAAAGGAGAGAAATATTTATTTTATAACGTTTAATTTAGTTTATGAGACTCCTAATATATATGGGATTACAGGACATCAATTTTGCTTGTTGCAATTGGAAAGGGAGGTGCAGTGGTTGTCTTCTGTTGTGAAAAGCAAACGTCAGTATTGACATCCAAAGTGTTTCAAAATGCATCTGGGATGAGGGGCTTGCAGTTTTCATATTTAATTCTTCAACCTTTCGTGGAATGTTTTCACTCTATGTGCATCCAAGAAATCAGTAACAAGAGCCGGCCAGGTATCTCAGTGGACTAAAGCACCACTTAGGCGAGAGCAGGGACTCGGGTTCTAGCCCCATGCTGTGCCAGCCCCACCCCCAGGGCATACTGTTGAGACTGGGCCTGGTGGCGCAGACCTGTAATCCCAGTAGTTGGGAGGCTGAAAACAGGAGGATCACTACAAGTCCGACCTGTGTATGAGACCCTGTAGACACTACTAAATACATAAAAGTAAAATAAAAAATAAATAAATCACTAACAAATGAGTACAAGATTAGTATTTTTTCTGAAATTACTGAATGTATCCTACATTGTTTCAGAATTTTTTTCAGTATATTTTTAAAGTTTTCTTAAAGGATATACTGGGTCACTATTCAAATAAATAATTTATGCAAAATAAGGGGCTTGGCTGTGAAATTAGGCTTCAATGAAGCCGCAATAGAATTTTAAGACTAGGAAAAACTGCCCACAATGGGACTGAAGACCACCTGTGACACCTTAATTCATAGCAGTATACCTGGCTAGTCTCATGTAAAAGAAGTTCATGAAGGGATTGAAAAAATAAACTGACAGGTCTCTAAACTAACTTTTATATGAAGGAGGCAGGGTAATTGAAGACCAATTCTATAGTTAGTTTTACATGTAATTTTTACATAACAGGGTATTTTATAACCAATTTCCTTACCAATACTAATAAGAAAAAAGCGTTAGTGATAAAGCAGCTTGTTTGCCAAAAGTATGGCTAGTTTACCAAGGTGGCAAAAGTCTGTAATCCCAGCTACTCAGGAAGCTGAGAGAAGGATCTTAAATTTAAGGGCAACCTGAGCAAGATAAAAATCCCTGGCAAGCATAAGGTCCTGAGAGGAGGGGGAGGGAAGGGGACTGCAGAAAACTTG